TCTGCATCTCTCTCTGTCTCTCTGTATCACTTGTTCCCTCTCTCTCTGCATCTTTCTCTGTCTCTCTGTATCTCTCTCTCCCAGTCTCTCTGTATCTCTCTCTCTCCCTGTCTCTCTGCATCTCTCTCCGTCTCTCTGTATCACTTTTTCCCTCTCTCTCTGCATCTTTCTCTGTCTCTCTGTATCTCTCTCTCCCAGTCTCTCTGTATCTCTCTCTCTCCCTGTCTCTCTGCATCTCTCTCCGTCTCTGTGTCTCTCTCTCTCTTTCTTTCTGTTCTGTTTCCCTTCCTTTCTCTATCTTTTTCCGTTACCTTTTCTCTCTCTCTCTCTCTCTCTCTCTCTAAATATATATATATATATATATATATATATATATATATATATATATATATATATATATATATATATCTTTCTCTTTCCACCTAGAATGATTTTAGAATTCTTTTGCCGTTTGACTGCAAATGTACCACCCAATAAAGCCCAGCTTTCATCCACTGTAATCATAAATTACCCTTTAACTCTCTCACTGATAGAGTTCACTGACAGAGAGGGTCACAAAAACAGCAGAGGAAGAAGAAAGTAGAAGAGAAAAGAAGAGAAGAGAAGAGAAGAGAAGAGAAGAGGTCACTACATGGTTTACAATATTTCTACCATTCAATATGTGACACAAAACAATAAAATTCAGCCATCTGTAGGTTTCTTTTCTTTTTCCTTTCCCAACCTCCTCAAATTTGAATGAAAACAACTTCACATATTACTACACATTCAACATTTTTGATGATTTGTAACAATAACAGAGAAAATGTGTTTATTTGAACAAAAATTGGAACAAATTCCTTGAATGTAATTCGATTTTGTCCCATTCATTTCTCCCATATCAGCTGCTGCAGTCAGAGACGTTTGTCACCGGAGAGAGAGCCCTCAGAATATAAATGACTGAATTAACTTGTCCAGAGTCAGACTGATGGGCAGAGTGCTGGACTAAATCTCTTTAAATTCGTTTTTAGAGACAGACGGAGTATAAATTGGTCCACTGAGTAAGTTTTGGTCATCAGGAGGCCAGTATCATCCTCTAAAGTCGTTTACTGAAACTTGTTGTAAGTGGGGCCTCTCAAAAACATTTCAAAGTAAGAAATTGCCTTAAACCCTTAATTTGCCCTTAAGTGACTCACAACTCGAAACTTAAGACTCATGAAATTTCAGAGACTTGAGACTTGACTGAACTTGGACTTGAGACTCGACACGACTCAGAGTCACCCCTGAGAGACTTGAGATTGCACTCGACTTGGGCTCACATCTCAGAAACTCAAAACTCTAATCAACTCGGACACGCTCCTTAGAGACTTGAGACTCGACTTGGACTCACATCTCAGATACTCAAGACACGACTTGCATCTCAAAGACTCGAAACTCGATTCAGACTTGCACCTCAGAAACTCGAGACTCGACTCAGACTCACCTCAGAAACTCGAGACTCGACTCAGACTCACACCTCAGAAACTCGAGATTCGACTCAGACTCGCATCTCAGAAACATGAGACTCAACTCAGACTCACCTCAGAAACTTGAGACTTGACTCAGACTCGCACTTCAGAAACCTGAGACTCAACTCAGACGCATTCTCACACCTCAGAAACTTGAAACTCGACTCAGACTCTCAGTCTCACACCTCAGAAACATGAGTCTTAACTTGGACTCGCACTTTAGAAAGTCGAGACTTGACTCAGACTCACATCTCAAAAACTCGAGACTTGACATGGACTCACACCTCAGAAACCCAAGACTCAGTTCAGATTTGCACCTCAGAACCTCAAGACTTGACTCAGACTCACCCCAGAAACTCAAGACTTGACTCAGACTCACCTCAGAAACTTAAGACAACTCAGTCTCACACCTCAGAAACTCGAGTCTCAACATGGACTCGCACCTTAAAAACCCAAGACTTGACTCAGATTCACCTCAAGAACCTAAGATTTGACTCAGACTCACATTTAGAAACCTGAGACTCGACTCAGATTACTATACATTACGGTATAAGGTATTTAGTTACATGTTTAGTCAGTATTTAGTGCTCTATGTAATATTTCATAGTGCATTTTGCTCTCAGTCCGTCTCGTCTGTCTCTAGCATTGTATTTATGTCATTTGTTTCCCTACAAATTATCTGACCTGAAGTCCAGCATCAGAACAGCTTCATCTTCCCCAGAGTAAACTGAACACTGACAAATTGCTTCATTTGCAGGCCAACTCCCGTAGACACTGGACATCAGCTGGACAGTCACAGACAAATAAACACAGATGCTGATCACTCACAGACTCTGCACTTCAGCTTGTCCCCACTTTCTGTTCCATAGACTGTGACCTGAAGCAGACTGATGAGTTTTATTGCTTTACAGTACAAATTGAATGCCAAACCAAATATTCTACCATTTATTATCTTGTTTCTCCATTTCTCTTCTCTTCTCTTCTCTTCTCTTCTCTTCTCTTCTCTTCTCTTCTCTTCTCCTCATATCTTTTTCCTTTCCGTTCCTCCTTTTCTTTTCTTCTTTTCTGTTCTGATCTTTTATTTTCCTCTCTTCTACTCTTCTATCCCTTCCTCCTCTCTTCTCTTCTGCTGTCTTTCTTTTTCTTTTTGCATTTACCTCCTCTTCTCCTGTCTTCTCACCTCATCTGTTCTTTGCTTGTCTCATCTTTTCTCCTTCTCCTTTTTTCCTCCTCTTTCTCTTCTCTTCTCTTCTCTTCTCTTCTCTTCTCTTCTACTCTTTTCCTCTCTCCATTTACCTTCTCTTCTTCTGTCCTCTTACCTCTTCTGTTCCTTGCACCTCTCAGCTTTTCTCCTATTCTTTTCTTCTCTTCTCTTCTTAGCTCCTCCTCTAACCTCTTCTGTTCTTTGCTCCTCTCATCTTTTCTCCTTCTCTTCTTTTTTTGCTTCCTTTTTTTTAGTTTACTGAGTAATTTAACTGTACAGTGAAGGAAAGCTGGGACTGAATGAGTTATAGTTTGTAGTTGTATAATATTCTGGAGGGCAGTGATGAAAACCACCATCCCCAGTGAAATCCAGTATTAAAATATGTCTCCCAATTCAAGCCTTAATCTACTGAAATAAATCAAAAGCTCCATTTCTTCCACAGGAGGATGCCCATAACTTAACACTCTGTAGCCACACGCGTCTCGCCGTCTTTCATTCTGAAGCGTAAGGCGTAACTTACAGTCCAGAATAATCAGCGAACTTAATGAAATAAGCCGCAATTCACAGTTATATTGTTATTTGCTCAACTGGAGCCCATTTTTTATTATCCACAGTCATAAATTTGTGCCTACGAGTCATTCATATTAATAATAAATCAACCCTCAGCTCCTGCAGTGACATAATATATACAGTATACTACACATACAATAAATCACTGGGGCTTATAGATTATTAATAAAATCAAAAACATCAAAAAATGTCAGTACTAGCCTGAGGGAAGCAGCCATAACAGAATGTACAATGACTGACCACTGCAAAACAGAACAGCTATGGATCTGGTTCAAATCTTAAAGAAAGGTTGGATGTGTCGCTGCATTATTGGCGTTTTTGTAACTATTAATAACTGTATGTGGTAGCTTTTAATTATGAGCCAAACACACTTGAACTTTTTCCACTTTCTACGAGCAGTTGTGCAAAATTTTAAGAGCTTCGATCTGGTTTGAAAGCAGCTAAACATGAAAGTCATTAAAAAGCATCTCGTCTCACCACACAAACCATCACATAGTCATTTATGATGCAAAATGAGAGAAATATGCTTAATTTAACCCCTTAACCTCTAAGGAACCTGTAGATGCAAAAAATACACTGCAAAAAATGATACAAGTCTGTCAGCAGGGGCTCCAGACAAAACCTGTTTGTTTACAGTAAAATTATGTTTTCTCAATGATGGTAAAAATCTGTAAAATTACAGTTATTTAATTTCTGTGAAAGTCTGCCTTTTGCTGTAATTCAACACTTTCATTTGTTCAATTAGTTATTCTGACATACAGTACTAATTATTCTGACATAATAACAGCAACATCCATTACAATAAACACAAATGTCTGTGAAATAAAGGTGATTACTTGCTTTTGTGAGCCTAAATTCCATTTCTGTAAATTAATAACAGCAGGGTTAAAATACAGTATATGTACATGCACATAACCATTTTTGTTTAAAAAAACTATATTTAATTTCCAACTCTTTGTTTTATAGTAGCCTTAGTCTGGTAAGAGTTCTTTTCCAGGTTTTCTTCACACAAAGTGTTGTGCTAAAATGTGTTTTTGCTTTGAAACAAATCTCACTTTGTTCAATCTATCTCAGTAAACTAAGTGATCTAAGTGAACGGTACTGGCTATCTATCTTCTTGTTGACAGTACATAGTAATTACTGACTATTTCATAGTAATTACCTAGTAATAACAATGAAATGGTACAACATTTTCCTCTTATGACTTCAGTGACCAAAGTTATTGCTGTTGTAACATTATTAAAATATGCTAAATATGTTTTAAAAGCACTAAACACACACTGAACTAATTCTCCACAGATGTTTTTAATTAATCTATTTGTAATATCTAAAAATGTTTATAACACAAAAAACACCTTTAATTTGAACAAATATGCAATTATCACTATCAGCTCTACTGTTTATTGTTGAGATCATAACTCTGCAAGCATGTGTTGTCCTGGTGCATGCTTCACAGAGAGACTTTTTACAAAGATGTTGAGCATAAACGGTTGTGAAAAATAATAAAAATGTGAAATTATTTGATGATCATAGTGTTTTATGCTATTATATATCATTAAATTCAGTGACCTGAGAGGATAAAATGTGTAGAGTTTAAAGGGTAAAGGCATGCATGACCCAACATGTAGAGGAAAATTATCCACAGCTGGATCCCCACCTTTCATTCATTATACAGACAGCTACGGGGCAGCTGATGGGTTGCCGGGGTGATGAGGAATGAGGAGAGGAATGGAGCGTCCTACCTGATCTCACATCCTGTGGAGCAGAAAGTGTGAGTCCCGGGCGGGCGCTCGCTCGCTGCACGGCGGCTTGATCAGGACTGTTCAGCTGCTGCAGCATCCAGCTCTCAGCACTACTGCATCGGCCAGAGAGAGAGAGAGAGAGAGAGAGAGAGAGAGAATATAGGAGAGGGGAGGGAGGTTTCAGAAAGTCTACACACATGTGTGTTAATGGACCAATAGGAAAACGCGTGAGACCCAATTCAGCCACGTGTAAAGACACGAACAGAGACATGCACTGATATAGATTTTCCATATTTATTGATACCTGTGTATGTACAGTTCTGTCTAAAAGTCAGAGACTATCCTTCATTAATTTCCAGTCAAAACAGCCATTATATTCAAGCTATTCATTTTTCAGGAGATAATTCTGATGAGATTGGATATAAAATACTCCACTCACTTCAGGAAGGAGAAAGTTGAAGCAAAATAAACAAAAAACAGGAGTTTTCAAAACTGGAACTCAAAAACTGATTAACAGCTACAGAGAAAGTGGGGCTCCTAACAACCACCTGGAAGACCTGGTAGACACCAAAACTGCCCCAATCAGATAAACAGCACCTAAAGCTTTCATCTTTGAGAGAGAGGAGAAAATCAAGCTGCTTCAGATCTGAAAACATCTACAGGTGTTTCTGTCCATCCTTCCACTGTGAGAAGACAACTCAGCGCTGTGGGTCTGAAAGGATGTGTAGCTGTCAAGAAGAACCTCACTGAGAAAAGGAGACAGACACATCAAACAAAGAAGCTGAACAATGGACTGACCACCCCAGTGTCCAGACCTCAGCATCACTGAATGTGTTTGATTACTTTACAAAATGATCAACCAGCTTCTACAAACTTTGGAGGTGTGTCTGCAGACGTCTTTGAGAAACTGAAAGCGAGTCTCCTGAAAAGAATGGAAGCTGTAAGAAAAGTAAAGAGTGAACACAATAAATACTGAAGAATTGATATAATATGTGTAATTTTCTATTAAATGAATGCTACCTAACATTAGAATATCGCTGCTGTCGGAAGAAAACCTCGTATCTCCATTTTTGATGTTTTTTAGTATTTGACATAATTTGAAAATACCTTTTACCCTTTTACCCCGAGATACGAGGTTTTCTTCCGGCAACAGCGATATATTCAGTCAAACATAAATTCAGTAAATTACTAATATGTACAATAGAAGAATCTAGTTCCTGACTTCTTGCTGCACTCCAGCCATCACATGAATTTGTCTCACCTGATTTAATGTAACTGTAAATACTGGACTTCCTTGAGGAGAGATCTGGATATATATTTGTGTGTGTGTCTGTGGGAATTTTTGACCATTCATACAGAAGAGCAGTTGTAAGGTCAGACACTGATGTTGGACGAGAGGGTCTGGCTCACAATCTCCATTCTAGTTCATCTCAAAGGTGTTTGATAGGGTTGAGGTCAGGGCTCTGTGCAGGCCAGTCAAGTTCTTCTAGACCAAACTCACCCAGCCATGCCTTTATGGACCTTGCTTTGTGCACTGGTGCTCAGTCATGCTGGAACAGAAAAGGTTCTTCCCCCAACTGTTCCCACAAAGTTGAAGGCATACAATTGTCCCAAAAGTCTTCTAATGCTGAAGCATTAAGATTTCCCTTCACTGGAACTAAGTGGGTCCTAGGCCAACCCCTGAAAAACAGCCCCATAGCATCATCCCTCCTCCACCAAGCTTTACAGTTGGCCCAGTGTAGTCAGGCAGGTAATGTTCTCCTGGCATTCGCCAAACTCAGACTCGTCCATCAGACTGACAGATAGAAAAGTATGATTCATCATGCCATAGAATACGTTTCCACTGCTTCAGAGTCCAGTGGTGGCGTGCTTTACTGTGGTAGCAATGGGACTGAATATATATATATATATACATATACAAAAATGTTAAATGACCAGACTGTGCCTTAATAAAGCCCTCATATTTAGACATCAATATGCATTTAGAATATTTCAATTAATAAGCAATAAATCTTTCCAGTAATATGTAGCAATAACAAACTAATTAGAGAAAAATGAAGCAATAAATGCACAGTAAACAAAGTTGTGGAAATCTGTGAAGAGGCCGTACAGTGACCTGTTTATGATGTGAATTGTAAAGAACTGAAGCCGCAGCTCACCTGCTGTGTAACTCCCGCTCTGTATCCTGTGTGAAAGTCTGAGTGCAGAGGAGAGAAGAGTCTGCAGCCGGAGTGATGGAGTCGTGGACTGGGCTTTACTGTGACAGCGAATAGTGTGAATCTCATTGATTTATGGTAACTCTACTCCACAGGCTTTTGTGGAGCAGCTCTGTCATACACTTTACCACACGGTGAATCTTCTAGTGAGGACACTTTGCAAAACGCTGTGGTGAAAGATGGTCGTCCTCAGGCCACATTACTCTAAATGCTGCTGTACCTTCTTACAGAATGACTGTAGTTTGGTGATCATTGGTGGGCAGTTTGCTGGAGGTCTGGAGTCTGAGGAACCCGAAGCCGCTGATTACTCAGCCTGCCCTGCCATCAAAGGGAAACTCCACCAGTTTTTCAAACCTTTGGTAGAATTCAGTGTTTGAGATATAAACAGTCATATAGGGTGGTTTGGTGTGAAATGGTTGATTGTAGAGACTCTGATTTCTTTACAGTGGTGATGATAGGAACCAGGAGTTGCCATGATTACAACACAAATATAGCCATTTTATTTACTATCCAAAACCCCCAGTGATCCTTCTGAGCTTTTATACAGAATGTTGATGATGGAAAAACAGTGATAAATCTGGAAAAAAAAATGTTATTTGGCCTTGTTAACATTATATTACACTTAGTTTAGTTTAGTTAAAGTTGAGTTGCCAGTAGAATACAATAAATGTACTGTGCTGTACTGTAAGCCCTTTTACAGTAGATCTACTGTAATTTTACAGCTTTAGAATCACAGTAACTATTGTAAACGCACATTATGCTTCTGTATATCTATAGTAATACAGTTTTCATGCAACCTTTAAAAAAACTAAATACATACAGTATATAAATATATTAAATTTAGTCATTAATTAGTCATCAATTTAGCATTTTTGAATATTAATGTTATGGAATTTAAAACAATGTTTTTGTTTTTCTCATTTGTTTTTGTTCAGATTTCTTGGAATTCCCACTCTTACCCCAGATTAATATGTTAAGAATGGACATTTAAATGTTCGCAGTGAGATTGCAGCAGTTATCTGCAGTGTGGGGTCACTTTGGTTGAGAAGTTTCACCACCTGAGGCCATAATATGCTGTTGCAGATGACCCTCCTGAGATTTAGGACAGGAGCAACAGCATTAAATGCTAAGTCATTATCCAGAAATAGCATCCTAATATAGGTATTCTGGGACAGTATATACATCCAGAAAAATGGCACCATTAGCTGCCCTAAGGCAGCAAGCAAACTGAAGTGGGTCAAGGGAGTCTAAGATAGTTTAACTTATATATGAGAGCACCAGATCAGACCGGCATGTCATAGTCACTGAAATACGCTGGTGGTGAATGGTACATTGGTGTTTTAAGCACAAGGCAGTTATGGTTCAGAGGCTTAGTTGTTTTATGTGGTTCCTAAATTGTTCTTATCTTGAATCTATGATTCTAGGAAAACATATTAAACTTCTCTTATATTTTATGATGAATGAACTAACATAAATGCTCCAATATAAATGCTGGAATAAAATCTTGCTACATTAATTCATACACAAAGAAAATATATTTCTGTTTATTTTTTCAAAATGTATATCACATTAATGGCATATTTACATATATTTTTGACATATATGTTCATTTTTAAAAAACATACAGTGTTACATACATGTAATCTTGTTGTATATGTGTCAATATATTGCCATATGTGTGTATATATTCAAATATTAAAATGGAACATTTTAACGTATTTAGAACAATAATTAGAACATATATTATAAAACATCACATACATTTTTATATACAGCAACATTTTTTGTATTAGCGAAAAATGTATATATATATATATATATATATATATATATATACATATGTGTGTGTGTGTGTGTGTGTGTGCGTGTGTGTGTGTGTGTGTGTGTGTGTGTTTTTGTCAATATAAAAGCTACGTCAGTCATGATTCACTGGCCCCCACTTGTCTTTCTGGTAAAACTTACATTAAAAGTTAAGAAAGTTTGGTCTTCTTCTATGAAGTTACCATCCTGGAGACACATATGGGATTTGTAGTGTTAAGGAGAGGTGTTGGAGTACACCCAGAATGCAGGTGATGCTAATGGGGCTGGACATTTAGCAGAGGCTGCTGGACAGTCTCACCTTCCCCTCTGTGTTCGCCTCAGCTATAGTTGCTGTTGGTACAGGTGCTGTGCTGTCTGCCACCTGTCACTGAGTTGCCCCGTAAATACACCGTCTAACAAGGACAAACAAGAGAGGTGTCTGCAAACACTGCCGGAGCGAAACTCACATTTTTTCTCCTTCACTGCCGTCCTCCCTCTCTCACACCACCGTCAAAATCTCTCTGAATAGTCACATTCTTAAACTCTGAAAGAGTTTGGGATGAAGTATTTGTGCAATTTCTTCAATTTCCCACAAATAGTCTGGATTGAAGGTGATAGCCTGAATATTCACAGGACAGACTCAATAAAAATAACAGCACTCCATGTATTCATGTCTATTAGCAAGTCCTGTTATACCATCAGTGTGATGTGGGTGTGAACAGGACTCCTGAGGGAGCAAATTACAGGAAACCATTCACTCCACATTTATTGCTGTCCGACTGTTAAAATGACACACACGGCAGATTCACACTAGATTAAAATTACTCCACAATTATTACTGTCAGACTGTAAAAAACTACATACATACTGCAGATTCATACTGGATTAAAATCACTCCACAATTATTAATGTCAGACTATAAAACTACACACATACTGTAGATTCATACTGGATTAAAATCACTCCACAATTATTACTAACAGACTGTAAAAACCACACACACTGCAGATTCATACTGGATTAAAATCACTCCACAATTATCACTGTCAGACAGTAAAACTACACACACTGCAGCCACAGCATTGCTGTCCCTACTGGGAGTTGTAAACTGCAAAACATCTCGGTTGTCAATCAAATGCTCGA